TCTATCCAAATTTCCACATATAATGCTAAAAAAAGCGGCATGATTAAAAATTTGGGAGAAGTATTTTCTTGCATTTTTTTCGGAAAATGCCAAAATCAAATATTCCTCAACGTTATGGTCTTCAGGTCCACCCATGTAATACTCTATGTTAAAATTCACAATTATAGTCGGAAATACCTAACATATCAGCAAGTTTTCAAAATTGATTGCTTTTTTAAAAAAGCTCAATGTAAGATACCAGGCGAAAAAGTCGGCTATTTTGATCAATAAAGTTTAAAGCTACTGTTGAATTTTCTTCTTTTTTCAAGAACAAACACTCGCCTAAAAAATTTTGTGTGCACCTCGGCCGAATGATCTTTTTTGGCCTCACCTGAAATTTGCTTGGCCTCGGCTGCGCCTCGGCCGCAAATTTCTGATTCGGCCAAAAAAGATCAACTTTACGGCCTTGGTACACAAATAACTATTCTGTGCATCTGGTCCATTGATAGATACAATACTATGGTAATATTAGAAAAAGTTGTATTGCCAATAATCCACCAATTTTGTCTAAATAATGTCAATGAAGATATTTTTTCTGTATATTAGCCCATTCTTAAGTAAATATAATATTACAATGTGGAAAAATATGTATTGCCAATATTGGCTCAATAATGCAGAAAAAAAACAATTTTTTTGTGCTTATCGGTTCAATGATGGATAAATATATCACTGTTATATAAGAAAAATATGTATTGCCAATATGTAATCAATCTTGGGTATATGCTGGCGATAAAAATATTGTTTGTGCATATTGGCCCATTCTTGGATAAATATATTATTATAATGATGAAAGAAGTTGTATTGCCAATAAATGTCCAATGTTGGCTAAAAAATTCCAATATTGGGCCAACATACAATATTGGTCCAATGTATCCGCAACATGGGACCAACATTGTGTGCTACTGGGGCCGTTTGTGGCATTTTTAATTGGAAGAAACACTAATGAAGTCAATAAAATAAAAAAATAAACAGAGTTCATTCACAAAACAACCACAAAATGCACTTTAAAAAGCTTTAAATTACATACTCTCAATCTCATATACGGGATAATGAACTTCTGCCACAACGCACTTTTTGACAGGTCGTTGGAATGCCTAATACAATGAAAAATTGTCAAATTTTTTATGTAGAAAAGGCTTGTGTTGCCAACATAGTTACTAAATTTTTGACTTGGGGAATTATCTTTAAAAAAAAAACAGACTTTAGGTACTTGGTAGATAGGTATTAGTAAAATGCAGGTGAAGTAGAGCAACCTTCTACAAATAATGATTCCCTTATATGCTTATTAGGTAGAAACCTCTAAAATTTATAAGCACGCACTATAAATGAGTACCTAAGGTATTCAATTATGAACGACATAATGGCCTTATGCTCGGAGTTATTGTTTGTTTCTTGATGGTTTGTGTGCCTTCTCTGCCTTCTGTCTGTTTTGGAGAGACTAATAATAAATAAATAAATATAAATAATCATTAAGGTATAATGAATTGAAAAGTTGGGTTAAGTTTTCCATAGGGATGAGAATCGATTCCATATCTGATACTTACAAATCTGTGAATTCGATATATCGATTTAGTTATCGCCCCCAGGACATGAAATTCTTGACATCTGGGCAACACTGAATAAAATTGACCAATCAGAAATTTGGTGCCGCGACGTCACGGCACCAAGAAATTTGAACTTCAAATCGAAATTTAAAGCCTTTGCAAGTCCGAAAAAAATCTGAAAAAAATACAGTTGAGCTTTACATTGACTCCTCTTTCCAATAAGCAAATAAAAAAAATGCATGCAAGAGGTCCATTCACTAGTTCTGAGTTTCACTGGATTTATTCATACAATGAACGTGTTGATCTAATAAATGAGCCTTCCAATACTTATGAAAATTATCAAATTTATTTCGACCAGTTCGTTGATTCTGTATATTCATGAAGCGCCGATGATAAGTAAAGAAGTATAGATTATTCTGAGCAAATGTTTTTCTTCATTGCTTATATATTGTACTAGAAAAATGAATCAGCCCTTGATACAAAATATTGTAGGCAGCATTATTTATTTATACAATTTTTCTTAACCACAAGTAATTGTCAAAATTCGTCGTTAACAAGACGAAGAGGCGTATCTCAAAATTTCAAGTTTTGAGTAATTCCAATGTAAAGATTTTTATTATCTTTAAGTTTGTTTAACTTGGCAAGTTACTTTAAAAATGCTGATAAGATAAAATATTGCATCAATGCCAATATATAGAAAGTAGAGTCAAGTCTCATTATTTCTGGTTTTAGTAAAAGGTTTAAAACTGCCCTTAGAAGAGATACGCCCTTTCGTCTTATTTTGAAATAAGTTTTCTAAGACATATGAACTTAACTACGCCTTTTGTTGAAATACTTTTATTATATAGACAAAGAGGAAGAACGACTTTCACATCAGCATTGATTCGAATAATTTTCTAAGCAGCAACAAACACAGATAAGAAAAAATAGCGTTTATTTAAAAAAAAAAATGCACACAAGTTATATTAAAAAAACTAAAAACTTAAACCAATGGTACCCACATAAGTTAGTAGTGTGAGTGAAAGCAAATAAACAATTATTCTTATTCTACTAAATTTGCAAAAAATTAAACAAACCTAACTGACATTAACTTCTAAGAGAACCTTAGTGTGCCTAAGTGCGGCAAGTGCTGGTAGAAAGAAACATGTTCTGGTTGTTTAATGATAGGAGTTGTTCCACTACACAGTGCCATAAGGTAATTGTATTTCTTTATTGATATTTTGGGCAAATCGGGATTGAGGCAAGCTGGGCTGAAACTCTGTAACGAATAGAGATATTTTCTCTCTCTCTATCCCCTCTGTAGTGATTTCGAAAAGAGAGAAGAAGACAGCAAGTGCCATAGCGATAGGGATAGGGATCTCTATCTGTTACAGAGTTACAGTTATTCTGACCACTACATCCATCGGAAAATAGAGAAACGGTAGGTATACCTTCGGTGTCAAGTTCTTTCAGGTATAAATACAAGCATGTCGAAATTTCACATGAATCACGTTCACTCAGTCCTTCATTCCATGGTTGCAAAAACCAAAAATGTTGACAAAAAATATTGAAATATATATTTTTTTATTACGCATGCATCATAATCAACGATTATCGCACGCTGCAGCTTGCATAAAATGATGTTTATGATGCGTCTACCTTTTCAAAGGTTTGCTATAGAAACGTTCGATCTACCTTCATTACCTAGATATTTACCTGCATACCTGCCATTTAAATTACTACTTATCAAAATGAATGAACACTTTTAAAACATTTTTGAGATTATGATGCATTCGTAATAAAAAATAGCGTATGATATGCGTGTATAAGAGGGCATTTAAAGCCCTTGCGACTTACAAAACACTCCGCTGCGCGTCGTGTTTTGAAATATGTCGCGCGTGCTTTAAATGCCCTCTTATACACTTATATCATAATATACAATTTTTTTATGAGAAAATAAACTTATACTTGAGGATATATGCACATTATCTGTAGAGGGCGTAACTTATTCATTCATAAAGTGTAATACGGCGAACAGGCGTACGCCTATTGGTCGTATTTTGCGATTATAAATTTGAGTTACGCCCGTCGTCTATCTCGTAAGAATGTAGCAATAAAGCTACGCCACTTTGTCATATGAAAATCTATATATATAAAAATTAATGCCACTTTTCGTTGTAATTTTATTACTCAAGAACGGGCTCACCTAGCCAAACTAAATGTTTAGGCTTTGTTCGGACTATTTATTAGATGGTTTATGTGAAGTTTGCACAAAATCGGTCGAGCGGTTCTTCATTTATCACATTTTTTGTAATAAATGAATTATTCAATAAATGGAGGATCATTTTGTTAATTGGGATTTTGCTGTCAAATTGAAACTTTTTTCAGCGTTGACAGTACCAGCATGTTGTTATGTCATTAATGTGGTCATTTCATTACTTATTTTATTTATTTATGAAAAAAATTTACTAAGCCCGCATACGGCGCCATCTCTTATAACCGATACCAAGTTTATCTAGTATTTTTTATTTTGTATACCGCGCTATCTCTGATACCTGGAACGAAGCTCGGCATTGCAGATACAGTAGAACAATGCTGCTCAGGAACTGGAGCTATTTCGAACAGAACTATTCCACTATTCCGATCAGATAGAGTGGTGCAGAAAGAGTAGATCAGATAGAGTAGTGCAGATAGAGTAGAACAGATGGAGTAGTGCAGTGCATGCAGTGCAGATAGAGTGAAACAGGGCTGCGCTAGAGATTTTTTTTTGTTTTCTTTAAATTCTTTGAACATTCCTGTGCCTGACTTTATTTATTTGGTGGTACACTTTACAAGAATAATGCTCACAAGCTGCCTAAAAAAGGATGATGTTAAATTTTAATTTCAGGTGACTTCTGATCCAGAGAGTAAACATTAATTTTCTTCAACCAAAGCGAAATTCACCATCGAAAAAAACTGAATTTAATTCAGCTAATAGATACGTTAACACAACATTTAATAGGTATATTAATAATTCAAATGCGGTACGAGGTTCGCCGGGTCAGCTAGCATACTTATAAATAGCGACTATGATGGGCCTAACTCAAATTCGAGAATTTTTGAGATAAGCCCCTTCGTCATGTTAACGACGAATTATTGAATGTATTAGCAAATTGAAAAGACAATATTAAAAACCCAATTAAAAATACTCGAAAGAAACATTAATTAATTTTTGCTGACAACCCAACTATGACCAAGTCAAAACTATTGTTCTTGTGTGACCCTAAAAAAGTTCATAAAGGAAATTAATTTATTTTGCAAGAAAGAACAAGGTCTTGGCCCCAATGCGATAATTTTCAATTTTCTATTTCAATGTACGTGCTTTGCTAATTAAGCGATCCATGATTGTGCAACAAGTTGGTACCCCGATGAAATTAATATTGAAATTTGTTGTTTCAGATGGATTAGAACAAAAATCAAGAATTAAACGACCAAGAGCGCCACCGCCCGAGCCAGAAAACGATGTGGATGGCGATTTCGATGAAAGAAATAACGAATTGAGTTCAAGCGTCGTGCCACCAGGATTTTTGAGTCCGTCAGTTTTAGAGTATTTGGAACTGGGAAAATCTATTCCAGGTATTACTTTACCTAATCAGCTTCAATTATGTCAACAAGTGCCCATATTAATCAGTTTAAATGGATACCAGTTTGCGGTGCATTAACTCTTTCAACGACCTTAGCCTTATACCATTATTGTAATTGCAGCACGAGAATTTAATAACCTTAAACGATTAAAAATTACTTCTTGTCCTACAACCTTGCTCTATATCAATTTAGTAGAAGAAAATTTATTCGAAGGCAATGGAACATAATTGTATTATGTATTATGAGATAGAAACTTACGTTTTAATGGGTGCATCATGTTACGTTGAATTTTTTTTTGTCTAAAATGGATTCATTAATTTAAAATGTCTTTTCTTAATTTTCAACCTCAACTACTGTCATTGAGAAAACCAGTTGAGAAAAAACGCTTATAAAACTGTACCTATGTATTTTTATGAGCTGAAAATTAACTAAATTAACGATAAAATTGCGCATATTATTATTAATCATTTAATTTACCTAGACAGTTCTACATACTTTAATTTCAATGTATTTACCCTCATTCTATAATTCTAGGTCGTCCTGGAACCGACTATCCAGTACTAGGTATGGTACCTTACACGAATTTCTACTGCGATGAGCAACAGTACCCAGGATTTTACGCCGATCCGGAAACCCGCTGTCAAAGTTGGCATTATTGCGACATCGACGGCAGGCAAACGTCGTTTTTGTGTCCCAACGGTACTCAGTTTAGTCAGTTGGTATTCGTTTGCGATTGGTGGTTTAATGTTCGATGTGAACTTAGTGAAAAGTAAGAGTTAAAATTTTCTAAGATTTACATTATAAAATCCTTATATGTACTTAAATGAATATTACGTGTTTGGAATAGCGAAATAAATCTGTAAATCTTCTTTTTACCATTGCATTCTAAGAAAACTCACAATAATTGTAATTATTGCTTTAGATTTACGATAATTTATACTCTAACAGCAACAAGCCTTAAAAGGAGCCTTGAATTTATTGGGAATGTGGCTTCTTTTTGTAGTGAATGGTTTATAAATAATTATATTCATTTATTTGAGAAATGATATCATTTGACGTCTAATGATGATTATTGTTTGTTCATCGACCTGCACCTATACTTAATTATAAATTAATCTTTGTTAACCCAATCTAATGCTTTCTCTTGATGAATGTCTGAATTCTCTTAATGCTTGCTAATCCTCGTGGTTTCATATTTCATCTGGAAAAACCAGTGCGCTACCGAGACGATGTGAATTTAAGAGATAATGTTTGTCTAAATAGAAATGCGAAGCTGGTTGAACACGGTCGCATAAAATGATATTTAGGAAGTGAATTTTAAGTAAATAGGCTTTTCTGCAGTAGAAAGGGACCGGTCACAAATTTAAATTCGCGACCCCTAGTGGGAGATGTCAAAAGTTTTTGTATTAATAGTTTGTTAAATTTTCACTGGAATTTCGAAAAATGGAGCTGGAAATACATTTTGGTTTCCACCACGAAGCTGCATACAAAAAAGTGGTGGCTCTAGTGAAAGCTGAACTTTATTGCAAGTAGTTGAACGAAAAGTTGGAGAGGACTTATCCATTTTGAAAAGGCATGTTATGCGCCAAACCTCCATAAACAGCTCTCCTTATGCTGTTGAGCTACAGGTAGGTATAACAATAAAATTGATGCTACAAATCCTGGACTGTCTTTCTGGCTCCCACATTTTACTGCTTTTTGAATTTGAATCTTAAAACGATAAAGAGTAAAGTAACCAAATCAATATGAAAACTCATTGTGAAGTTCCTATGAATAGGGGTGAAGGTTAATGTTGATAGAAGTAAGTAGGAACTTAAATTTTTCTTCCGACAGCTTTAATCCATTTTTACGTCTTTCCTGATCATGATTAGGAAAACTGTAGAAGTGATCATTTCCACTTAGTTAGGGAGATGACCGCATTTTTCCTACCCCGATCGAGTTATGTGTCGTCTGTGTCGACACTATTATCAATATATCGTATTATGATGTGCATCTATTAACCGGTATTCCTGCCTGAGAGCAAATGCTGCCGGAAATATCTTTTAACAAATTATTAACAAATAGAAGATTTCATTATGAATGACTTTGGCAGAAAGTCGACAAACAAAGTCACATAACCTATAATAGCGGTGATTGTAAAAGTGATAGTCGAACGAGTTCCACTAAATTAACGACCCCATTTGCCTCCACTGGAATTTAAGGTAACACAGCATCTTGTCAAATCTACGCTTTCGTAAGTATTCGGTGCATTCGCTATATGTCTTCTTTGGTTGCAAAACGTTTGATAAAATTAACAGAAAGTGATGTGACAGGTGCTGTGTTACCTAAAACTCCAGTAGAAGCAAATGGGGTCGTTAACTTAATGGAACTTGTTCGACTATCACTTTTACAATCACCGAACACACATCGCTTCATCGCCTCTCGATAAAACATATCACGTTCTCCCAAAAATGCCATAATTATTAAATTTAAGCCCAAAATTGAAAAAAAATTAATAACATTGACAATTCTATTTATAGGTTATGTGACTTTGTTTGTCGACTTTCTGCCAAAGTCATTCATAATGAAATCTATTGAAAAAAAGGTAACACGACCCCCATCGAGTTATGCCCTAAGTAGGGTATCAGATTGAAGGTCTCGATGTCCTCTATCTAAAAAGTCGATCCTGCCTCGTGAGAACTTGCCGGAAGAAGGTGGCAAGGCAGCTTATTGGGGCAAGGGCCCGCGGTCTCAGCTTTGACACCTATCAAGTTTTGCCCTGAATGATGTGTCAAATTAAAGGTGTCGAAGTTGATTTATGGCCGTTTGCACGGGTTCCACTTATGGCCGTTTGCACGGGTTCCACTTAGCACGTTTTGAGTGGAGCTCAACTTTAGGTGTCCCTTAAGTAATTATTTTCCGTTGCACAGTCGTCGAACTGAGACTTAAGCCAGACATAAATGAGAGCAAGGTAAACCGAAGATTTCTTGGGCTTAAACTGACCCCTAACAAAATTTTAATTTAATTTGTTATTTTTTTGTCATTTTTGAAAGTTAGCGTTTTGGCGTCTTTGGTTTGTTTATATTTTGGTTGGTCTGAGTTTAGAATAATATTACGTTATGGTATGATTTTCTGGCGTTTGCGAGTTAAACAGAGATGCTTCCATGCATCATCTTTTTTACGCCAAGTTAAAGAGTCTGTTTTTTTTTATTCTCTATTACCCCTTTGCACGTTCGCGGACAGTACGGCTAAATCCGTCATATTCTTCTCCCTTGCCTGGGACATGACATCTATAGCAGTCACCCCAATTTTCTTCTATGAACAAATCACGGCTCTAGCCGTCTTTTATCCCATATAGCTACATGTATTTTCAATTTATTAGTCCTGCCACAGTGTATATTCACCTCAAAATTGTCCAGTTCATGGCGAATTTTAAAACCAATTTACCACACCAAACATGGAAATACAAAAATTTACATTCTAAGCACAACATACTTTCAGAAATTGTCCGCGGACGTGTTAAAGGCAAAAATAGTGTTCAATAACATTTCTTTTTCGCTAGGGGAAAAATTCAGAGCCTTTTTTTTCACCTCACTAACTTCGTTTGTCGCCTCACTCATTTTTTTCACAGCACAAAGAAGATCAATAGCCACAAAAATGATAAACGTCGGTTCTCGGTTCTACGTAACCCAATGGCATTGACGTAACCCCACGAACCTAACCTAGAAAAATCAAAACAAACAACAAAACCTTAACATTTTGACAAAAAAGTTACTATAACAACATGATATGTTCCTATATTTTGGAACGTTGCCGGTTTTACATACCACTTAGGTAAACTTTGGACAAGGGGAACCCTTGCAAACGAAATAATCGTTAGGGTACACCTCAGATTTAGGTTACACTTACGTAGGAGTAAGTTTTGAGGGGAACCCGTGCAAACGGCCATTAACACGTTTTGAGTGAAGCTTAACTTTAGGTGTCCCTTAACTAATTATTTTCCGTTGCACAGTCGTTGAACCGGCACTTAAGGCAGACTTAAATGAGAGCAAGATAAACCGAAGATTTCTTGGGCTTAAACTGACCCCCAACTAATTTTATTTTAATTTGTCATTTTTTTGTCCTTTTTGAAAGTTAGCGTAGTGGCGTCTTTGGTTTGTTGATAGTTTGCATTGAGTTTGGTTGGTCTGAGTTTAGAATATTATTACGTTATGGTATGATTTTCTGGCGTTTGTGAGTTAAAGGGAGATGATATTTTCTTCCATACATCATCTTTTTGACGCCAAGTTAAACATTCTGTTTTTTTGTTCTCCATTACCCCTTTAAGGGCCAAATTATGGACCAACTGGTAAGTGTCTGGTTGTTACCTAGCAGGTACTTTCTATTCTCTAGTGCATAGAAAGTACCTGCTAGGTAACAACCAGACGTTTACCAGTCAGTCCATAATTTGGCCCTAAAGGCAAAAATAGTGTTCAATAACATTTCTTTTTCGCTAGGGGAAAAATTCGGAGCCCTTTTTTTCACCTCACTAACTTCGTTTGTCGCCTCACTCATTTTTTTCACAGCACAAAGAAGATCAATAGCCACAAAAATGATAAACGTCAATTCTCGGTTCTACGTAACCCAATGACATCGACATAACCCCACGAACCTAACCTAGAAAAATCAAAACAAACAACAAAATCTTAACATTTTGACAAAAAAAGTTCATATAACAACATGATATGTTCCTATATTTTGGAACGTTGCCGGTTTTACCTACCACTTAGGTAAACTTTGGAGAAGGGGAACCCTAGCAAACGAAATAATCGTTAGGGTACACCTCAGATTTAGGTTACACTTACGTAGGAGTAAGTTTTGAGGGGAACCCGTGCAAACGGCCATTAACACGTTTTGAGTGAAGCTTAACCCCACATAACAAAATTGCATCCTTAGAATGTATTAAGAATGTTCTTTTTTTAGGAGGAATGTGCCTAGAATGTTCGCCAAAACCATTGCGAATGTCCTGAGAATGTTCTGAGAAAAGATTGTAGAAATACTGTTTGCAATACCCAAGAACTTCCTGGGAAATCCATTAGGATATTCTTAGAATATACCTATGAGATTCTCAGTACGTCCTGAAAAGAATATTCCTTTTTGATTCTAAAAATATGCTCGAAACGTACCTATATTCTCACTCGAAGAATGTTTCTATGACATTATAGTTTTGTTCTCAAAAGAATATTATACCAATATGCTTGAAATATTCTTAGAATATATCTACATATATCATTCTCAATATGCATCCTAGACATAACATTCTTGTTTGATTCTAAGGATATAGGATATACTTAGAATGTTAATTTGCGCTTCCAAATAATACTCGTTTCAGCCCTTTTATATTAAAGGCAGTGAAAGAGTTGTTGGAAAACTTCTCTAGAAAACACGAGTATTTAACCAAAGCTCCGGTTTCCAGCTTGTTATGCTCTCGTCGAAGCACGCCAACTGAGAGAAACAGGTTCCAAGGTGATTCAAATGCGAGGCAAGATGTAGATCTTTAATAGCGCGTCGCTCCCTCTCTTGGAAGTCATACAAAGCAAAAGAAAAAGCATATACCTATAATATTCTTAGTAGGTTCTAGGTAGAGCATTATTGCTCAATTGTATAATTAAGATTTTTGAGTAGGTACTTTAGATAATTAGGTGAACAATATGAAAATATTCTTATCATGGTTACCTACCTACATAAACTTCTCAGCACAACTTGGTAGGTATATTCTTAATACTTAATAGAGATATTAGCTTAAAGAAC